CAAGCCCCTAAACCCTAAACCCCAAACCCTAAACTCTATACCCTATACCCTAAACCCTAAACCCTAAACCCTAAACCCTAAACCCTAAACCCTAAGCACCTGGAGGTCGTCCAGCTCCTCCTCGGCCACCCAGGCTTCCACCTGAACGATCCCGAGGCACAGCAGGTTTAGGGTTTAGGGTCTAGGGTTTAGGGTTAGGGTTTTAGGGTTTTAGGGTTTAGGGTTTTAGGGTTTAGGGTTTAGGGTTTTAGGGTTTAGGGTTTAGGGTTTAGGGTTCAGGGGTTTAGGGCGTAGTGGCTGGGGGTTTCGGGTTTAGGGTCAAGGGTTGTTTGACACACACGCACACACCCTGTGTGTATATATATATATATGTTTATGTATATGGTCAGTTCTGGAAAATGATGTGCCCGTTTCGCCCTACATATAAGGAGCCGCCTTATCACAGGAACCCCAAAAGGGAACTTAATTAAAGAAGTGACCAGAAAAAAACTACATATACACACACAAATACAATGGTTGACTTAAGGACGTAGGGGTTTCGCTATTAAAGGTTTTCGGCTTAGCATCGAAAAATTAGGGCTTGGCAGTGCGGGGCCTTCGGCTTTCGATGTTCTTAGTAGCCCAGCAGTAGCCGTTTGCCCTTTTGTTTGCTTCAAGTTTCCCTTATAAAGTAATGTCCGCAGAAAGAGTTCCCTTCTGATGATATGGTGAGTTTTGTTTCGTTACCATCTAGGTCGTCTGGCTTGGGGGTCCTGGGTTTTGCTTGTCGGTTTTCATGCTTCAGGTTTCGGGTTTAGAGTTTTTGGCCGTGTTGTTTTCTCGGCCTAGGGTTTGGTGTTCCCTAAACCCGAAACCCTAGATCCTAAAGCCCTGAACCCTGAACCCTGCCTACAGCCCGCCCGTCTTTGAGCTCGCAACGGCCGCAGGGATCTAATAGGGACACGAGTACCAGTGTGTGCTTGAGCACCACAACCCTAAACTCTAAACCCAAATTATATCCCTAGCCTACACCCTACACCCTAAACCCCGATCTCTAAATAGATGCTCTGGAGGAGTCTGGGGGTTTATTGCTCAAACGTTTAGGTCCAGGACTTGCGGGGTTTCCCATATGAGGTTTAAGATCTACGGCCAGTTTGGGTTTAGGGTTTAGGGTTTAGGGTTTAGGGTTTAGGGTTTAGGGTTTAGGGTTTAGGGTTTAGGGTTTAGGGTTTAGGGTTTAGGGTTTAGGGTTTAGGGTTTAGGGTTTAGGGCTAGGGTTTAGGGTTCAGGGTTTAGGGTTTAATTAGGGTCCTGCTTCCGTCTAGTGGCCCGGATCCACAGCAGGCCGGCGTGCTCCATTGCGTTATGTCCAGGCGGGCTTCGTTGGTCGACCCTAAACCCTAAACCCTAAACCCTAAACCCTAAACCCTAAACCCTAAACCCTAAACCCTAAACCCTGGGGTGAAAGAACACGAGGGCACCCCTTAAGCGTCCTATCATAACTAGGACCGGGAGTAGGCCCTTATGTCTTTTGTTTAGGGTTGGGGTTCCCTTAAGAATCCCCTTAAAACCAAAAAGGGTACCCTTTTTATTCCTAGGTTACTCCCGGGTCTAGATAAGGACTTCTCCAAAATCTAGAACAACCCCGCCCCGGTTCGCATGCGGCACTAAGTTTCTTCCTTAGCACTTAACCAAACCCCAAACCCAAAACCCCAAACCCAAAACCCCAAACCCCAAACCCAAAACCCGAAACCCTAAACCCAAAACCCCAAAGCCCTAAACCCTAAGCCCCAAACCCGAAACCTTGACCAGGTTGGGATGTCGGTGGCTCCTTGTGATCATCGCAGCTAACGCCAAGTGCTAAGTTCTAAACACCTAAAGCCCTGAAGCCCTGAACCTCAAACGCCGACAGCCCCCAAACCCTTTCAAGCCCTTCTACGGCTCTAAAGCCGTAAAGGTAACCCTAAACCCTAAACCCTAAACCCTGAACCCACTGAACCCCCTGAACCCCCTGAACCCTAAACCCTAAACCCTTTCCCCCAAAACCTAAACCTCAAAAGCTTAAAGCCCTAAACCTTGAAAGCCCACGACCGAAAGCATGAGCCATAAATGCCTCAACCTTAAGCCCTGAAGCGGTTTAAGGTTTAGGGCTTAGGGTTTAGGGTTCAGGGTTTAGGGTTTAGGCTTTAAAGGGTTTAGGGCTTAGGGCTTAGGGCTTAGGGTTTAGGGCTTAGGGTTTAGGGTTTAGGGTTTAGGGTTTAGGGTTTAGGGTTTAGGGTTTAGGGCTACCTGGAGCCCGAAGCCCCAAAGCCCGAGCCACAGGACGAAGCCCGACGCAGTTGAGATCTTCGCGTGGCTGCTGACCCAAGATGAGCTGGATGTGAACCTCCACCTTAAGGCGCGGTCAGGTGGTGTAGGGTTTAGGGTTTAGGGTTTAGGGTTTAGGGTTTAGGGTTTAGGGTTTAGGGTTTAGGGTTTGGTGGATGTAGGGTTTCAGGCGGCTTTTGGGGTTGAACGTGTGCCATCAGGAGCCCTCATTCCCTTTACTTAGGGTTTAGGTTCCCTTATAAGCCCCTTTAAACCCAGAAAGGGCACCCTGTTTATTCCTAATTATAGGTTACTGGGCAGCCTAGACAAGGAACTGCTTCAGAGCCTTCAGAACGGATTTAGCACAAGGACGGCGTTTGCGTCCCCTTTGCAGCTTTTAGTGATCGTCTAAAGAAGCCAACAGAAATCACGGCGTTAGGGTTTAGGGTTTAGGGTTAATTACTTAGTAGCTGAATGAGGACACTTTACACCTTTTTGGGAGACTATAATCACCTATAGAACTGATGGTGTACACTTTTTGGGGGCTTATGAACTCAGCAACTAAGATTCTGTTGGAGGAAGGCCAACAACTTTGTGAACCACGGCTGAAGAACCCTAAACTAAACCCTAAACCCTAAACCCTAATCTCTAAACAGCTGAAGAAGCGCACCCGTGTTGGCAACCAGCGCACTGCTTAAGGGAGTCATACTCGGACCCCTAAGGACGTATCCCTGAGAGGTTCCCTTAATATACTCCTAGTAAGCATTGACCCCGGGAAGTGGGTCCCCTTTTCCGGGGCGGCCGAAGACGAAATCCGAAGACGATATTTGAAGAATAAATTCGGTCCCGAAGGCGACATTCCGCGCACAGAGGCAAATTCGGTTTCACTGAACATGGGTTTGTCCGTTTTTTGGGGGGCCCAGTTTTAAGAAGGGCACACGGGTTGCACACCCGCGAAACATACCCCGAAACATACCCCCGTAACATACTCCGTAACACACCCCCACAACTGCAGGTAAAGTAGCTCATGATGCCGCGAAACATACCCGAAACATACCCCCGAAACATACCCGCGAAACATACCCTGATCCCAACACCCCTCGCCCGCCCCCCCATTATCGAACAAACCCACGTCCTTCGGGGGCCGAATTGTGGCTTCAATGTTCAGTGAAACCGAATTGCCTCTTCGCGCGGAATATCGTGGGCCGAATTTCGTCTTCAAATATCGTCTTCGGATTTCGTCTTCGGCCCCCCGGAAAAGGGCGCCCACTGTGACATTTCTTCTGTGTTCCTTATGCTGCTTTCTGCTTTCCTTACAGTCTCTTCTGCTTCCATATCCTTTTCTGTTTTTTCAAAGCCACCAAACAGTGAAATAATTCTTCCTTATAAGGTCAATGTAGGGATTAATTGTTCTTTGTTTTTTGTCCGAGTCTTAAGCAAGTAGTAGTCTTCAAGAGTAAGGCCCAAACCCCTAAACTAAAGTCTGAACCCGACATCCAGCCTGGGCCCCGATGCTTCCCAAGCCCCTAAGCCCCAAACAAGAACGCCCCAAGAACCCTGAGCAAGCCCCTTAATCCTACATCCTAAACCCTCAACCCTATATCCTAAATCCTAAACCCTAAATCCTAAACCCTAAATCCTAAACCCTAAACCCTAAACCCTAAACCCTAAACCCCTAAACCCTAGATTCCTAAATCCCTTCAGGGCACTGGGGCCACTGCTTTGCACCATGCAGCGATGACCGACTCCCTGTGCATTGAGATTGGGCAGACGGAGCCTGCAATGAAACCAGGGTTTAGGGTTTAGGGTTTAGGGTTTAGGGGTATCTCCAGAAAGTTGGAGTATGGTTATAGCTGGGATTCCCTTTAGTATACCTTTTGGGGTATGGGAATAAGGATGTTCCAGCTTTTTGGAGTGTGCTGCAGGGTGTGGGGCGTTCAACGCCCTAAACCTTAACCACGAGTTGGACTTGTTGCCGGAGGTGTCAACGATTCAGGGCCCCAACCTTCTCAGCGGTTCATGTAGGGTTTAGGGTTTAGGGTTTAGGGTTTAGGGGCCTTAATCCCAAACCCTAAACCTTAAACCCCAAACCCGTTTCAACGAGGGCAGCCACATGCACGTGTCTTTGGGTGACAGCAAAGCTTCAGTTTGAGTTCGAGAGGTACCAGTTTCCCAGGGTTGGCGGGAGCTCTGCGAGGGTTACGCAGCAAAGATGGAGTGTTTAACATCTTTAAACCCTAAACCCTAAACCCTAAACCCTAAACCTAAACCCTAAACCCTAAACCCTCTACTTTGCGCTTGAAGGTTTGCTTGTTCATTAGAACCCCGAGAGGCCAACGAACCCCTTTATAGCTGCCAACGCGCGTCCTGGAGGTCCCGATTTCCCTATCTGTTTGGCCTCAGTCAAAGGGAAGCGCCACAAAAGAACTCCGAGAATCAGGGCTATTTTTTTGTCAGGGACGAAGAAAGGGACGTACCCTAAATCATCAACCTTAAAGCTTCCTGTTTAGGGTTTAGGATTTAGGGTTTAGGGTTTAGTGGCCTGTGTTAAACTTTGGGAATCGTCTCCTGGCGACCCATGGTTACGAACAAGCCCCCTTGAACCTCTTGTGGGTTCTGGGTTCTTCTTGGGTAGGTTTGGGGCCCCTATGGAAATTAAGCTGTTATGGGTTTATAAGAATTATGCAGGGAATTGCGGGCACTAAAACTTACGGATGTTTCAAAATCCCCTGTCTTGGATTCTTTACAAGCAGCTGAAGCGACAGAAGGAAGGATACAATCGTTGTACTGCGGTTACAGAACCCTAAGCCCTAAAAACCCTCAGCTAGTAGCCGAACTGCAAATTTACAAGAATTTACGGGACTGGGGCTCGGGTCTACAGACCGTTTAGGTTTCCGGACATTCGAGGTTCCGCAAATGAACCTCCAAAGAACCCACCCTAAACCCTAAGCCCTAAACCCCTAAACCATAAACCCTAAGCCCTCAACCCTATTTACCCCAAACCCTGATCCCGAAGGGTATGCAAGACCAGTCACTGAGGAGAGGGGGGTGAAAACCGCCAACGCCCAGCGGCAGGCCCTCGTTTCGTTTAGGGTTTAGGGTTAACCCTAAACCCTAAACCCCAAACCCTAGACCCTAAACCGCCCGAGGCTCAATCGATGCCCTGAAGCCTAGCCCAAGCCTAGCCCCGGCCTTGCCTGCGGCGGGGACTTCGTCCAATGAGCGCTTTATGTTCTGCGGTTTAGGGTTTAGGGTTTCGGGTTTAGGGTTTCGGGTTTAGGGTTTAGGGTTTAGGGTAGCTGGGGTACGCAAAGGTTTACAAGCTGGGCTTCAAGGTTTGCACGTGCTTGGGGCTTGCAATTCATGGAATAGATGCCTAGGGAGCCTTAGGGAAGCTTAGGGAGCCTCAGGGAGTAGTGGGGAGGCTTGGGGAACCTTGGGTTGGATAACCCCGGGTCCCCCTCCCTTAAGAACCCTGTAATTAGAAACCCAAACCTCCTACACCCTGAACCCCCCCAAACCCCTCCTAAAATGATTCATGCTGCCAGGTGGAGCCCTAAAACCCTAAACCCCTAACCCCTGCACCCGAAACCCTAATCACCCATGCTGCCAGGTGAAGATGCTGCAGATGCTCTTGCAGCGCCCAGATCTGGATGTGAATGCTGTGGACTCCGAAGGCTTCTTCTTTTTGGTTTAGGGTGTAGGGTTTAGGGTTTAGGGTTTAGTTTTTTCACGAGTTTTACGAAGGCTGTGCAAGGGTTTCCTTGCGATTGATGTGATATATACACATGTGCAACATACATACATACATACATCCATACATACATACATACATACATGCATGCATGCATGCATGCATGCATGCATGCATACACACACATATAGCATATTTGGTGCAACAAGGTTGATGGTGTTGATGACGATGACTATGACGATGATGATGGTGATGATGATGATAACATCACAACCTACCAGTCTATGATTTCATACTCACGTCCTTTCTTTATGGCAGTATCACAAGTGTACGTCGGATGTCCTATGGCTTGTATATCCATCCAATGTTTCTGGGCCTAAACCCTAAACCCTAAACCCTAAACCCTAAACCCTAAACGGAGGGGAAGATGAAGCCTTTGTGAACCCTAAACCCTAAACCCTAAACCCTAAAACCCTAAACCCTAAACCCTAAACCCTAAGCCCTCTAGACCCTGCAACGTCTCTAAACCCTCGCACGCCTACAGCCCTGGTAAGGCCTCTAAATCTTCTAAAAACCATGCACACCCCAAGAAAGAATGAAAAAAAAAAACCTCTAAACCCTCCAAGACCCTAAAATTTCGGTTGGGCTCTTGAGCTGGGGCCTCCGAAAATGGGGAGGTACCCTTTCTGGGGGTTCCTATAAAAAGGATGATACTACTTCGGGGCTAGACTAAGGGTCCCCCTATTTTGGGAGATACCCAGCTCGACTCGGATCAACAGCTACCTATGTCCCTGAAGCCGCCATGCAATCTTCGGCTCGATTCTAGGGAACTTTGTCATAGTTGGGTAGCATGTTACAGTTTAAGGGTGCCCTAAACCCTAAACCCTCAACGCTAAACCCTAAACCCTAAACGCTAAACCCTAAACCCAATCAGGAATAGACATTTAGTTTTTCAGTACTATCCCAACCATGAACTCGGGAAGTCGGGAGCCACTTGTATACAATCCTTTGTCTACTACTATTTGCTTGAGAACCCCCGAGAAAAAATGACAGAAAGTTGCCCCGACCTTTGCCCTTTTCAGGAAGAATATGTTTCAGATTTGTGGGGGGGGGGGGGTTCTGAAGCATATTTAGATTGTAGTTTATGAGCCAGGAATCCATACCCTTAAATCCATGGTCCATGCTCCACCCTTCCAGAACCTACTTACTCTTGTTGTAAGGTCCATCTACGTGTCATGTCATATAGGAAGTGAGCTCCAGCCAGAGCCTGCACGCAAGTCGGTCCTTCATCCGCAAGCAATGAAGCGCAAAATCTCTGACCTCTCTGTCAAGTTATACTGCGTGTATGGAGCATTTCAGGTGAGGAGCTCTCTGCCAGACCCGTGGAGGAGTTGAGCGACGTGCCGGCACTGAAGCGAGAGTTGCAACACCTGTGGGGGAAGCCTCGGTTTCAACAGAGGCTCTTGCATGAGGGGACCAGCCTGGCTGATGACTTCCAGCTGGCCGTACCTGAGCCGCCACTGGACTTGCAGTTGCTCCTCGTACCCTTGTGCAGCCTTTCGGGGGAGCAAGCGATGGCACTCAACTCGGCCGCTTTGCGTGGAGATGTGCAAAGGGTCGAGGAGTTGCTGCAACGACCACAGGATCCGAACTGGACCCCGGACGAGGCTCCCGATTGGAGCGAGGATCAGTTGGATGCGGGGATGGAGGTTTAGGGTTTAGGGTTTAGGGTTTAGGGTTTAGGGTTTAGGGGAGACTCAGGAGTATGGGACGCTGCCACTTTTTCTCGCAGCCGGCGAGGGCCACGTCGAAGGCCGACCTTGAGGCTCTCTCTCTGGTGCATGTGGCTCCCAGGGTGCCGGGAATCTCGAAACCGTCAAGTTGCTTCTGGATGCCAGGGCCGAGCTCAACTGTCAACCAGGAACATGTGACGCAAGATCTTGGCCTATTGCGGAAGCATCTGGGGCAGGCCTCATGGATGTCGTACGCTTCCTGTTGGAGAAAGAGGCCAGTGCCGTCGGCGATTTTTCTGAGGCACGCGGGCGAGCTGTTCTGGAAGCTTCCAGACATTCAGGCGCACCTGCGGGAATCATGCGTTTGCTCTTGAGCGCAAGAGCCGGCACGGAGGCCGTCAAGGATTGCGACGCATGTCGAACCCCTCTTTGCTGGGCAGCCATCCACGGCGACCTGGGAATGGCCAGCTTGCTTCTCGAAGGTGGGGCTGACAGGCAGCACCGGAGCGAGAACGGAAAGCCTTGCGAACTAGCTCGGGCAGGGGGCCATCTGGAAGTCGCGCGGCTGCTGGAGTAGAACACGCCATGCTTCCAGCAGCGAACGAGAAGACCGGGGTCCAGTGCCTGAGTGATTCTTTCCGGAAAATAGGCCCAAACGTTGCCAGCTCCACCTCCACCCGTCAGACTTCAAAGGCCCTAACCCAACGTTTACCCCAATTACCCAAGTTTCGGGTGGTTTAGGGGCAATCTTTACCAAACCTTATCTTGCAAGGGAGGGGTTTATAACCGAAGCAAGAACCAGGGTTTAGGCTGTTTCAAGTGTAAAGAGGTCTTAAAACCCCCCAACCCTAAACCCTAAACTCAAAGCCCTCAACCCTATTCCCTACTTACCATGAGCCTCCACGTGCTTCATATCAACCAGAAGCACGGTGGAGTTTTTCGCTTGCCGGGGGAAACACGGTGGGAACCTCAACCGCTAACACAACCATTTGCTTCAGAACACCCCAAGAAATGAAGATGATAATCTCCACATTTGCGTTCTTAGGAAGGTTTCGTGTTTTTTTGGGGGATTCTTAAGCAAGTAGTAGTTAGTACTAACATGGTCTAACCTTAGGCCCTACGGAATCCTGTTCGGATATTTGGACTTGATTCCGGCTGAAGCGTGGAAGTGTGCTAAACCCTAAACCCTAAACCCTAAAACTCTAAAGCCTAAACCGTCGGGTCCGGGATGGAAGGCGCCTTTTTGCAACTGTGGGCTCTACCTCAAAAGAAAGGACGGTTAGGTTTGAGGGTTTAGGGTGTGGGGTTCGGGGTTTAGGGTTCGGGGTTTAGGGTTTGGGGTTTAGGGTTTAGGGTTTAGGGTCCATCTTCCCTCCCGAGCTCATGTCCAAACAAGAAGCCTTCACGAGCATCAATGAGCCTGAAGCGGCCCTGATTTTCCGTAGGGTTTGGGGGTTTGGGGTTTAGGGTTTAGGGTTTAGGGTTTAGGGTTTAGGGTTGAGTTTAGGGTTTAGGGTTTTAGGGTTTAGAAATGAGGGTTTTCTGATTTTTTTGGGGTGCCTCGGGTTTTCTGTCCTGTGGCACTCCACTCCTCAGAATCCGATAGGCGCCACGGCCCTTCATTCCTATGCCTTCGCTGGGCGACTGGATGTGGTCCCTGGGCCTACAAAACCGAAGTTAGGGTTTAGGGTTTAGGGTTTAGGGTTTAGGGTTTAGGGCTTGGGGCTCCATTTACCTACCCTTCTGGGGGTTATGCTCTATATAGGGGGGGGGGGGGGGGCATAACCTCTATTTTGTGGGGCTTGGGGCTTAGTAAACCCTACAACCGAAATCCGAAAGCCCCGACGGACTTCGGCCTTGAGAATGGTGGGTGGGTACTCGTGCGATTTTTGAGTCTGCGCGATTAGACGTGTGAGCTCCGACTCGGCAGACGTGGCAACATGTGCTGAAGTGCTAGGAAGTAGTCCAGCCCAAAAATGCATTCTCCCTAGACGAGAGACAGACTCGGGCACAAGACGGTGCGTTGATGGGCAGATCGGCTAAACGGCTGAGCTCAGGCTCGGCCGCCTGCAATACAGGAGCCAACAGAGTTTCCAACAGTATCCCCTAATCACCATATGACTAGAATAGCATAGGATTCCTTGTAGAATGACCTGTAAAGATACATGGACAAACCCTACAAGCCTAAGTTCCAAACTCCAAAAGCGCATTTTTTCTAGGCTCCTGCTTTAGCGATTTTTGGGGTTTGGGCCCCGTGGGTCCCATTATAAGCCCCTTCAAACCAAGAAGAATACCCTCGCTATTCCTAGGTTAGTCTTGGGTCTAGCTCAAGGCGCTGCTGTATACAGGCTCCCTAGGAATGTTGGTGGGTGTGTTTATGTAGGGTGTCCTTTTGGGGTTGCGAGCAACAAAAGCCGTTACTTCCTGCGAGCAACCCTAACCCTAAACCCTAAACCCTAAACCCTAAACCCTAAACCCTAAACCCCAAACCCCAAACCCCAAACCCTAAGCCCAGCTGAGCCTTGCGAAGCGGGTGAGTTCGTAAATGCCTCTAGTGCTCACTGGCTCCTAGTTGAGGAATTGAAACCCTAACCCCTAAACCCTAAACCCTAAACCCTAAACCCTGAACCCTGAACCCTGAACCCTGAACCCTGAACCCCATACCCCATAGTCTCTTAAAGGGCTATGTAGGGGCCTGATTCCCTATGAAGAACCAGCAGTAATGCCGACGTTGCATCTCTTGCTATGCTGGAGTCTACCTTCGACCTTGACCCCTAAACCCTAAGCCCTAAATCCTTCACCCTTCCACAAGTAGTAGCCGAGTTCTGGAAATCTGAGGCTCAGGGGAGGTTTTGGGGGTTGAGGCTTAACCCGGAAGCCTAAACTACCCGAAACCCTAAACCCTAAACCCTAAACCCTAAACTACCCGAAACCCTAAGCCCTAAGCCCTAAACCCTGGACCGCATGGGCCTCTGAGGTGAAGGTCCTCCTTGCCGACCCAAGGACTGGAGGGACCGAAGCTTGCCCCCTTATAAAGCCCAGCACCAAAACCCTAAACCCTAAACCCTAAACCCTAAACTTGCCCTAAACCCTGAACCCTAAACCTGATTATAAGTGCCAAGAACCTGATAAACGGTATCAGCCTCTAAAACCTAAACCCAGAACCCTCAACCCCAACCGCCCTTAATTTCGTAGCTGAATGAGTGCACTGTACACTTGTTTGGATACTTGAATCCTCTCTAGAACTGACAGTGTTCACTTTTTTTGGGGGGGGGGGGGGGGGGGAGGGGGCCTATGAACTCAACTAGGTAAACCCTCTAAACCCTAAACCCTACGCCCTAAACCCTGAACCTAAACCCTAAATCCTAAACCCTAAACCCTAAACCCTAAACCCTAAACGCCCCTGAAGGAGTTTGCCGAGCCTTTGGCATCGCAACGCCGCCGGATTGTCCTGCGCGGAGGCACGTGGCAATCGTTCGCCTTGGTGCAAACCGTTAGGGCTTACGGTTTAGGTTTAGGGTTAGGGTTTAGGGTTTCGGGTTTAGGGTTTCGGGTTTAGGGTTTAAGGTATAGGGTGGGCTTTAGGGTTAAGGGTTTAGGGTTTAGGGCTGAGTTCGGGCTTCAGTTCGGGCTGAGGGAACCCCGAAGTCCTACAATCCAATAGCGCTGGCCTGCCTGAATTGCTCACGTCGTCAGCCTGCCACAGGGCGAGGGTTTAGGGTTTAGGGTTTAATTGTGGTTCAGGGTTCAGGGTTCAGGGTTCAGGGTTTAGGGTTTTGGGTTTTAGGGTATAGGGTTTAGGGTTTAGGGGGCCGATTCCGCGTTTGGGCTTGAGACCCTAAATCTGAAGCCCTAAGTTTTACACCCTTGTCAACCCTAAAAACCCCAAAACCCGAAGTCTTACACGCTTTTAAACCCCCAAAAAACCCAAAAACCCTAAACCCTAAACCCTAAACCCTTATAAATCCTAAAACCCCAAGAGGCTGGGCGTCCAAACTTCAGGTGGCCGCCAGCGAGCGCGACAAGCCGCGCGAACGCTGGGCCCCAGCACCCCTCCTGGCCAAGTACCAGGCGGGAGAAGACCATTACATATATGTGTGTGTATAATTTAAATAAATAGATAAATAAATAAATATATATATATATATATATATATATATATATATATACTAGACACACGTGCGTGCTTCGCACGCACTTAGTGTCTGCACCAGCCCACGATGCGGAGTCTAGAGGGGACGGCCCGGACAGAGGGGGCAGCGGGGCGGGCAGGCTGACGCGGCCACGGGTGTTGGGTCAGGCTTAAGCTTTAGACGTCGGGCTTCGGCTTGGGTTTTGGGTTGGGATGCAGAAGTGGCGCTTTCACGTGTGACGGGCCCACGGCGTGAAGGGGGTCGGATGTAAGCTCGGGGTAGCGTGCTGGGAGGGGGGGTGGGGTGGGGGTGGGGGGGGTTGTGGGGTCCGTTTTGGCGGTTGGGTGGGGTCGGTTTTTTTGTGGGCGGAGGGGTTGGGTGTGGGTTGTGGGTCCGGGGGTTGAAGTTTAGGAGGGTGGGGGTGGTGGGGGGGAGGGGTGGGGAGGTGGGGGGGTTGGGGGTGGGGGGGGGTGGGTGGGGGTGGGGGGGGTGGGGGTGGGGGGGGTGGGGGGGTTGGGGTTTTTTTTTTGGGGGGGGGTTGGGGGTGGGGTGGGGGGGAATGTGTGTTTTTGGGTTCAGGTCTGTGGGAAGGCGGCCAAAGAGGGGGGGGGGGGCGGGCGGATAACCAACGGCGAGGTGGGGTCTATTTGTTTATATAAATATATATATATATATATATATTTATATATATATGTATGTATGGTCGCCCCCCCCCAATGGACCAACCTCCAACCCTAATGGACCCACATCGGCATGTATGAGGTTCTCGAGACACAGCCTGCCATGCTTTCCCTGTCTACTTCTGTATGCTGTTTGTGCTTCCTGTGCTTTTTTTGTGTTTTTTTTTCGTGCATTTTTGTGTGTTTTGTATTCTTTTGTGTTTTTTTCTGCTTTTTGTTGCACTTTTTGCACTTTTTTTGCACTTTTTGCACTTTTTTGCACTTTTTGCACTTTCTTGCACTTTTGTCTAATTTCACAACATTTTTGCAAATATTTGTCCTTTTGAATGTGCTTTTCCAATCCAAAAATCCAAAAATCAAAAAATCCAAAAATCCAAAAAAAATCCAAAGTTCTCCGGACAATCTCCCAGGAAACTTTGGATTTTTGGATTTTTGGATTTTTGGATTTTTGGATTTTTGGATTTTTGGATTTTTGGATTTTGAAGATTTTTCACATTCGAGGTTCTCCTTTTTTTGACTTATAAGAGGGCGGCCATTCAAATGCACCCTTATCAGAGTTTCAATTGCGTCTTAAGTACTCGAAACATAAGCACGAAATTCACACGATATCATTAAATGGCATATCCTAGATGGTTTTGATTCTACAGTTTCTGAATTTGAGAACCATGTCAATTCTTACTTTTCAAATCACTGAGGTAAACACGTACGTGTGTTATGCACAGGGCTTTGCTAAGCAGGCTTTAGCAGAGAAACCCCATATTTGCCAATATCTACTTTTGTGCATATAAAAGAAGCTGAATTATCATTTTTTCCAAGAACAACCATTCTGGGATCCTAGTACCTGCTGTTTAAGAAAGGTTATATGTCATGAACACCCTGACTTTGCGACAACGAGTGTTTTAGTTTTCTGATCCTTTAATTCAGGCTCTTAATATTGAGTTGCCCACCTGTGATTATTGCAGTAAACCCTGCTCGAATCTGATTAACGTCTTAACTAAGTACTCGATTGAAGACTGTATCGTTTAAATCCTAAGTAGCCTGCTCACAAAGCCAATGAGATTTCGAAATATCCTACTCAAACAGCCAACAAGAGGCTGAACAGAAGCGTTCAAGACAGTAAAAGGGCTTAGGCCCAATATACGGCTAGTGCACTGTCCACTCGAGGGTCAGGGACTTCCTGTATGGAAGTGAAGTGTGCATTCATTTCCAGGGCGCGCATTTCATGCTATGAGGTTCGGTTGAACTCTTATTTTATAATCTTGCATATGGGGCCCCTGTAAGTATCTCGTGTATATAAGAGGGCGGCCCTTCAAAGGTACCCTTATCAGAGTTTCAATGGCGTCCTACTCGAAACGTGAACATTAAATTCACAGGATATTGAATGGCATATTCTAGAAGGTTTTGATTATACTGTTTCCGTATATGAGAACCATGTAAAGTCTTAGTTTTTCAAATCACTGAGAAAAACACGTACATGTGTTATGCACAGGCCTTTGCTAAGGAGGCTTTAACAAAGAAAGCCTATATTTGCCAACATCTAATTTTGTGCATCTGAAAGAAGCTGAATTATCATTTCTTCAATAAGAACCATTCTGGGATCCTAGTACCTACTGTTTAGAAAAGGTTATCTCTTATGAAAGCCCTTACTTTGTGATACGAGTGCTTTAGTTTTTTGCCCTACTACTTTCTTGAACGCTTCTAATCGCTTTTTGAGCAGGATATTTCAACATCTTATTGGCTCTTTGAGCAGGCTACTTGGTTTTTCATTCACGTTTTGAGTCGTTTGGATGTTTTTGAAATTCTGACAAGGGTACATGTGAATGGCCGCCCTCTTATAAGTCAAAAAAAGGAGAACCTCGAATGTGAAAAATCTTCAAAATCCAAAAATCCAAAAATCCAAAAATCCAAAAATCCAAAAATCCAAAGTTTCCTGGGAGATTGTCCGGAGAACTTTGGATTTTTGGATTTTTGGATTTTTGGATTTTTGGACTTTTGGATTGGAAAAGCACATTCAAAAGGACAAATATTTGCAAAAATGTTGTGAAATTAGACAAAAGTGCAAAAAAGTACAAAAAGTGCAAAAAAGTGCAAAATGTGCAAAAAAGTGCAAAAACGTGCAAAAAGTGCAAAAAAGTGCAAAAGTACAAAAAGTACAAAAAGTACAAAAAAGCACGAAAAAGCACAAAAAGCATAAACAAGCATAAAAAGCACAAAATCCAAAAATCCAAAAATCCAAAGTTTCCTGGGAGATTGTCCGGAGAACTTTGGATTCTTGGGTTTTTGGATTCTTGGACTTCTTTTCCATTTCGCGGTTGGTCCATTGGGGGGGGGGGTGAGCATATATATATATATATGTTTATATTGATTTATCTATATATACAATGTTTCACAGAATGCGATGTACATACTTGTTCACAAGAAATATTGTATACAATCTAGTATAGTTCTATATGTACATAAGTTTCGATATAAATGCACATATGTATATATATATATGTATATATACATCATGTTTGGCTCGACGTGGTTTAGGATTTGGAAGAGGTGGACAAAATTGGTACATGTCACTTGATGCATTGTTTCTCTCTCTTTCTCTCTCTTTCCCCCTGTTTGTGTGTGTGTGTGCCTGTGACTCTGTCTGTTCCGTGTTGGCGGGGCGTTCCACCTAATAGGTCCGAGACCTAAACGCAAGACCCAAGAAAGCCCTAAGCGCCCTAAACCCTATGTGCTGCAGGATGATGCGACCCTTACCTAAACCTTAAAGCCCAACCGAGTCAAGACATCACTATGTTCACTCTTAGGACAGGCAACCTCGCAACCCAGATTCCGCAAAACCTCCCCCAACAAACCCTAACCCTAAACTGTTTGGGTTTTAGGTTCTAGGGGTTTTAGGTTTTAGGGGTTTTAGGTTTTAGGGGTTTAGGGTTTAGGGTTTGGGCTTTAGGGTTTGGGCTGGTTCTTCCAAGCATCCTGCCCCGGCCCGCAGGAAGTCATCGACGCGTTGGCAAAGTGCGCCGAGGAGAAGAAGCTGGAGCTCACAGGCGAGTGGGTTTAGGGTTTAGGGTTTAGGGTTTAGGGTTTAGGGTTTTTACAGGCGAGTGGGTTTAGGGTTTAGCTACGGATCAAGCATCGGCAGTTTCCTTTGAGTCGGGCTCCTGCTGGCCTTGCTGTAGCAAGCAGGCCTCGAGTAGGCTTCGGCCCTTGTTGGTCTTGCTGAAATAAAGCCAGCGGGGGCTGCACCATGGCCGTCCTTCTCTTCCGCGGTTTTCTGCTGCGTATCCTTCTACAGGGCGGCGCGGCGAGTGGATGGGATCATCAGGACTTAAAGTATGCCACGGAGGATTCTCGGCAGTGGCTGAATATTCGCCTGGCAGATGGGTCGAACGGCCCCACGCCAGTTTATCTCTTCGCTCATGAGAACGGCGGTTCCGCCGACCGATTTAGCTCAAAGTCCATGGACCTTATCACAGGCGCCGGCTATGCACTGGTGAGCTGGGAGTCAATTCCGAGCATATCGACAACCGCGCATGTCGACATCGGTTCCGCAGATGCTCAGCTCGCCTATGACTGGGTACGGGCGAACGCGGCCACCTACAACTTCGACCCAGAAATCATCGTTGTAGGGGGGCGATCCCGGGGCAGCGTGCTCAGCTGGAGACTCGGCCACAGCGGGCGCCAGGCGATTGCTGGTCTCTACTTCTACAACGCACTGCCGAATGGAGCCTGGGCGTTCCCAGACATCCTGAATCCACTCGTTGATGTGACTGCCGATAGCCCGCCGCTCTACTTTGCCTACGGACCGGCACCAGATGATGGTGACTCCCACAACCCGGTGAATGTCTACCCAGTTGTGTACCGCTATGCAGACTTTGGAATGCCTGGCTGGGTGAATCTTTCCCACAGCATGACAGCAGCCAAGCTTGATCCCTTCCATTTCTTCCCGGACTTCGTGGCAAGCTTGCGATCGAATCTGTCGAGGACACTGACAGGAAATTCAACCGACACAGGCATCCATACGGCTGTGTCCAAGAGCGCGGCATGCTTCATCTCAACCATAGCCATGGCTCTTTCATGCTCTGCCTGGCAGTAAAACTGCCAAGCTATCTGGCGATATCTCACACTCGCCTGACTTGCTCGAGTGCGAGTGCCCAAAAAAATGGTTACTTTGTGCGAGTTTCCTGGATCAGAGTTTCGCCAGCCCATGAATTCCTGGGTTACTCTGGACCTTTGTCTGGTCTTTGGGATCTCTTTAAGGGTTTACGGCTTAGGACTTCGCATGTCTTTAAGGGTAGTGTCCTGGGCCCTGAATATGGTCCTTTACTGTCCCTTACCTCCCAGAAAAGGGTGCTGAAGCATGGGCCCTGGGGTTTCATAGGTCATCTAAGGATATAGCAGGGGTCCCCTTTTGAGGGCCCATACTAAGGGACACTGTAAGTTTCCCGAAACCCCTAAACCCCTAAACCCCTAAACCCCTAAACCCCTAAACCCCTAAACCCCTAAACCCCTAAACCCCTAAACCCCTAAACCCCTAAACCCCTAAACCCCTAAACCCCCCGTAAACCCCTAAACCCCTAAAGCCCTAAACCCCTAAACCCTAAACCCTAAACCCCTAAACCCTTAAGAGGGTCAGGGTGGGGCCATCCTGGGAGTCTTTAAGACAAGCCGATTCCTTGCTAAGTGCCATGGCAAACCAGGAGCCCATGCCTGGGCTTTGGGGTTTGGGGGTTGGGGTTTAGGGTTTAGGGTTTAGGGTTTAGGGTTTAGGGTTTAGGGTTTAGGGTTTAGGGTTTAGGGTTTAGGGTTTAGGGTTTAGGGTTTAGGGGTACTACTCCCCTCATCCCATGACAGTCATATAAATACGTGGATGCTGTTTTTTGCATACATACGTATGTATGTGTATATATGTATACACACACATATATACATATTCACACATGCATATATATATATATATATATATATATATAGATAGATACATATCCATATGTATAGGTATATGTACATATATATATATATATCACTGCATGATATCACAACGAAGCTCTGAAAGAAGTCTTGCTGCTCCACGTGAGAGTTGTTTTTCTCAAGGGTTTAGGGTTTAGGGTTAGAGTTCCAGGGTGTAGGGTCTAGGGTCTAGGGTCTAGGGCTGAGTTATCAACCCTGGTGCGACGCAAGGTCTCTGTCCTACTGAGCTCACCAACCATCCGGGCACGTGGTCGATGTCTGTTGGATTGCTGTAAGAACTCGAGGCGTACTAGTCCAAAACCCTACACAAACTTCCCGAAACCCTAAACCACACTAAACCCTAAACCCTAAACCACACTAAACCCTAAACCCTAAACCACACTAAACCCTAAACCCTAAACCCTAAACCCTAAACCCTAAACCCTAAACCCTAAACCCTAAACCCTAAACCCTAAACCCTAAACCCTAAACCCTAAACCCTAAACCCTAAACCCTAAACCCTAAACCCTAAACCCTAAACCCTACACGACCCTCCACACCAGTCGGCGCAGAGCCGCGGTGCCCGAGTTCTGGTCCAAATCCGAAACGGCACCCAAAAGGGACGGGACCCATGTCTGGACCCCAGAGAACCCAAGACCCGACTGCAAGAATAAAGGATTAGAATAGGGTGTACGTAGGGTTTAGGGCCAGGGTTTAGGGTTTAGGGTCTCGGGTCTGGGTCTAGAGTCTAGGGTCTAGGGTCCAGGGTCTAGGGTTTGAGCCTTAAGAATTAGAATAGTTTTTTTTTTTTTTTTGCGGGGTGCTTGTAGTATAGTTATATAGGGACCATAAGGGAATACCATCAGTGATTATCCGGACCCCTATGGTAGAGGTTCAAGGGTATCTACGGCGCGAATGACATTTCTTAACTTCCTTAGCTCAGGAGAGTATATTGCATGACAAACGTAGTCATCGCAGGGATCTCAATACGATCCAGCAGGGCCATTTCTTCACTCTTAACCCAAGGGGTGTTGGGGTTACTGGGGAGCCAGACCCTGAGCCCGCCCTCAAAACCCTTCTAACGCTGGCTCACTGAGCCGTCTTTCTGGTTGGCTACCCTGTACAGTCTGGAGCTTGCCGGTGAAAACAAAGGGGTCCTGGGTCTCTTGGTTTGGGGTGACCCATTGATATGGGGTCTAGGAATGTCAGGGTTTAGGGACCCTAAACTCCTCAACCGGGAACATCCCAAGGTACACCCCAAGTTGAAGATATATTGTTTCCTTGCCTAAGAGGTAAAATAATAAGTACCAAAGCGCGAGCCTAAACGAATTCACGGACACTGTCAGGTGTCAGGTGTGACATGCATGACGAAGCAAGAACTCAAGCGGACTCAGGAACTCATATGAAACAGGGTTTATATTACTGTTTTTGGTGAGTGTATATAGTATATAAGGTTCCCTTTAATATTGGTGGGTGTGTATACCTGGTGTCCTTTTGGGGGTACAAGAAATATATACCCTACTTCATATGTACAGTTATAATTGGGGGTTCAAGTACCCATGAACCTCCAAATCGAGGTCAGGGCTCGTTGGCCCTGTAGCCACCACGTAAGCCCTGAGCTTATCGAGAAGCCTTAAACCCTACCTAATGTAGTCGCTTTTTGGGGTTGGTTGTAGGGATGATAGTATATCACCCTAACAAGGTACTACGCCGGAGCCTTAAGCCCCAAAGCCTCAACCCCAAAAATCGAAAGCGCTGGGAACTCCGAACCCCCTGGGCCCTTAGATTCTACGCCCCTAAAACCCTAAACTCTAAACTGAACCCTAAGCCCTAAACCCTAAAACCCTAAACCCTAAAACCTAACCCTAACCCTAAACTCTACCCTAATCCCTAAACCCTAAGCTCTAAACAGACTCTGGACTTCTAAACCCTCAACCCCAAACCCCTGCACCCTCCCGAGGCAGATTTATCCTGGCAGACGCGTCCGTGTTCAAGGCGCTGCCTGGGGTTTCCTAGAATTTCTAGGGTTTAGGGTTTAGGGTCTAGGGTTCAGGAAACTAGTTCAGGGTTGAGGGTTTAGGGTTGAGGATTTGAGGTGCGCATTTTAGTCCCTCAAAAGTCTCACTCTCCTTTTGTTCGACTTCAACGGAGAACGAAGGCACAGCCTAAACCCTAAACCCTAAATCACGAAAGCTTGCCCCTGAGGAGCTAGCGGAGTATCTTGCTTAAGCGAAGCTTACAACCTGATGGGTATACAGGGCCCCCGGAGGCTCCGCCACGAAACGCAGCAAACCCGGTCGCTTTCCGGGTGGCGAACACAGGTTTTGGGGAAACGGGCTGGCGTTCATTTCTTTCGTATATTGGGTGCAAATGAACGCCGTTTTCTGTGGATCCCAGGCCCTAGAAAAGCCCCCCAAGTCCCCCAAGAAAAGGCTCAGAAGCCTTGATGTTGATTTGAGTCTGGCGTCCCTCAAAGCTGGATTGGACAGACTTCAGACTTCGCCTGGTGAGTGCAACATCTGTTGTGGTCTCATGCGTTTCAAAAAAGAGCCCTCCGGAAGATGCTAAAATACCGCAGAGCAAAGCAACACACCAACACGGCCTGCTGCCTTTGCGTGTGCTTGTCCTGCTGCGTAGTTGATGCCATGTTGACGGAAGCTCTTCAGTGGGGGTACCTTAACTAGCTTTCGTCCCAGGCCCTCACCCCCAAGTCCTGAACCCGGAGTCCCCCCCCCCAACAGACACCTGCTTTGGCCTTCTTCGCCGGTAAATTCGTGTGTGTGTGTGTGTTTTTTGGGGTGCCCGCTCTGAGGGGTCCTATGATGTAAGCTGTAACGTAGTAGCTGAAGGAACACTTTTTGGGAGACCAGGTTTATGGGCTTAGAATTTAGGGTTTAGGGTTCAGGGTTTAGGGTTTAGGGTTTAGGGTTATGAGTAGGGTCATACGACCTTGAATTAAGGTTATGTATTTGGGGTCATAACACAAGTTACCCTACTTATAGTCCCAAGTCCAGACCCTAAACCCTGAACCTCCAAGAATGTTTCTTCAAGCCAAGCCCCCAACCAGCAAAACCCTGAACCCTGAACCTCCAAGTAGGGGTTCCGGGTTTAGGGTGTTTAGGGTACTTAGGGGGGTTTAGGTTTTAGGGTTTAGGGTTCAGGGTTTATGGCTTAGGGTTTAGGGTTTAGGGTGTTTAGTTTTAGCAGCCAAGCTGCAAGCGTCTGAGCGCAGGACTGCAGGTAAACCAGGAGATCAATGGCCTGATGGGCACTGTCGTGGCATCTCGGTCCTGTTTTAAGGGGTAGACCCTCGAAGCGTACGTTGCCCCAAATACTGCCAGGTACCCTGAGTAGCCTAGGGTTTAGGGTTTGGGGTTTGGGGTGCAACTACCCTTAGACATTGCACTTGCACGAGAAGTCTGAGCCCTAGCTCCAAACTCTAAACCCTATTCCATAAACCCTAAACCCTACGGCACCTGCTTTTAGTGCATAGGTAGAACAAAAACCCACTCCCAAATTCACAAAACCCCCTAAACACCAAGCCTTCAGGGACTAAAGGAGGGACCCTGATAAGGGTCCTTAGGGGTTCTTGGGGGTTATTCAGGGGCTACTTAGGTATCTAGGGACTATATAAGGTATATACAAGGGTTATATGGGGACAAACAAGGGGCTACTTAGGTATATAGGGACTATATAAGGTATATACAAGGGTAAAAACAGGGACAACAAAATTGAAATTAAGGGTCCTTTCCAGGGGCCCCTCCTTTTGCCCCTAACACCGCAACCTTTTGGTCCTTGAGCTCCGTGCCGGGTTTAGGGTTTATACAGGGTTTAGGGTTTTGGGTTAGAGTTTAGGGTTTAGGGTTAGAGTTTAGGGTCAACACCCTACACCCTCAAACTCAAATCTCATGCTCCCCCCCCCCAAGAGGCCTGGGACAAGGGCGAGGAGAGATGGAAGGCCGGGGCCGAAGACGTGCAAACATCTGGGCCTTACTTGGAGGTTCCGGGTTTAGGGTTTAGGGTAGCTGTACTTAGAACTGTACTTCTAACCGTAAATTAGGGCACTTAAGGGGCTTACAAGTGGTTTAGAAGTACAGTATTAGCTGGTGAATAAGTACCATGAAACTCCCAGGAGGCTTCATGGGG